AAAAAAAAAAAAAACTAGCAAACAGAATCCAACAGCATATTAGAAGAGTCATACACCATGACCAAGTAGGATTTATTCTAGGAATGCAGTGGTGGTTCAATATTAGAAAATCAATCAACATAATACACTACATCAATAGAACAAAGGAAAAGGACTACATGATCATCTCTATGGATGTAGAAAAAGCATTTGATGAAATCCAACACCATTTCTTGATGAAAACCCTAAAGATTAGAATAGAAGGGAAATTCCTCAGTATGATTCAGGTTGTATATGAAAAGCCAACAGCCAACATTATACTTTACGGAGAACGATTGAGAGCGTTCCCCTTGAAATCAAAAACAAGACGGGGTGCACTCTCTCATCACTTCTATTGAATATTATATTAGAAGTCCTAGCCAGAGCAATAAGACAAGAAAAAAGAAAAGGTATCCAGTTTGGAAAAGAAGTAAACTTATTTCTATTTGTGGATGATATGATCCTATGTATAGAAAATCCCAGAGAATCTACAGTGTAACTTCTAGAGCTAATAGAGAAATTCAGAAAAGTTTGCAGGCTACAAGGTTAGGAAAAAAAAAAAAATCAGTTTGGTTTCTATACACGAGCAATGAGAAATCTGAAAGGGAAATTAGGGAAGTAATTCCATTTACAATAGCATCTAAGAGTATAAATTACCTATGAATAAATTTAACCAGGAACGTGAAAGAATTACAATGACAACTATAAAACATAGCTGAAGGAGACAAAAGAAGATTTAAATAAATGGAAAGATGTTCCATGTTCTTGGATTGGAAGACTTAACATTGTTAAGATGAGGGTATTACCCAAAGCGATCTATAGATTCAACACAATCCCAATCAAAATTCCAATAGCCTTGTTTACAGAAATGGAAAAACCAGTCCTGAACTTTATATGGAATGACAAGAGGCCCTGAATAAGCTAAAACAATGTTGAAAGAGAAGAACAAAGTAGGAGAACTCACACTTCCTGATTTTAAAACATTTTATACATTTACAGTAATCAAAACAGCCTAGTACTTGTATAAAAATAGACACTTAGATCAATGAGATAGAATTGAGAGCCCAGAAATTAACCCATACATCAGTGCTCAACTGATTTTTGACAAGGGTGCTGTCTTAGGCTGGGTTCTCTAGAGAAGCAAAACCAGGAAAGTGTATAAGTAAACTATATATAGAGAGATTTATATCAGGGAAATGACTCACACGGTTGTAGAGGCTGGAACATCCCAAGTCCCTGGGTCAGGATAGAGGCTTCTCCTGATTCACATAGCCACAGGGGCTGACGAACCCAGGATTGGCAGATCAGAGATCAGGGCTCTTGCTCACAGGCTACAAAAATCAATAAATCCCAAGACTGGCAGGCAAGACTGCAGGTAAGCTGATAGCTCAAGTCCCAAGAACCAGAGGTTACACAAACGGGAGCCTGCTGTAGGATCTAGAATGAGCAAAAGCCCATGAGCCTTGCCAGAATGTCCACTTATGTTTGATGCTGGCCACATGCCCAAGGATACTCTCTTTCTACTGATTGGCTACTCACAGTGGGTCCCATCATGGAGGTGATCACATATAAGATCTCATCCTGGAAGTGATCACTACATCATACGACTGCCAAGCTACTGAGAATCATGGCCCAGCCAAGCTGACACACAGTCTTAGCCATCACAGGTACTAAGTCCATTCAGTGGGAAAAGAAGAATTTTCAATACATGGTGTTGGGAAAATTAGATTTCCACATGCAGAAAAGTGAAACAGGACCCTTGCCTCACACTGTATACCAAAACAAATTAAAAATGGATTAAGGACCTAAATGTGCAAACTAAAACCATAAAATTCTCAATGGAAAATGCAGGGGCAATGCTGTCATACCTAGTTTTTAACAATGGATTATCTAATATAGTAACAAAAGCAGAGACAACATAAGACAAAATAAATGAGACTTTATAAAAAGTAAAAACTTTTGTTTATCAAAAGACTTTACAAAAAAAGTGAAAAGACAGTCGACCAACTGGGAGAATATCTTTGGAACTCATATATTGTATAAGAATATAATAACCAAATATATAAACCTTTGATGACCTAACAGCAAAAAGACAAACAACCCAATCATAAAATGGGCAAAAGACTTGAATAGACATTTCACCAAAGAGGACATTCAGATGGCCACCAAACACATGAAAAGATGCTCATCATCATTAGCCCTCGGAGAGATGCATATCAAAACCACAATGAGATACCATTTCACTCCCACTAGAATGGCTATGATAAAAAGTCCAAAAATAACATATGTAGGCAAGGATGTGGGGAAATTGGAACATTTACCTGTTGCTGGCGGGAATGCAAAATGGTCCAGCCATTGTGGAAAATAGTTCAGAAGTTCCTCAAGAAACTAAAAATAGAACTACAATATGACCCAACAATTCCACTCCTAGGTATATACCCAAAAGACTTGAAAGCAGAGACTCAGAGACTTGTATACCAATGTTCGTTGCAGCACTATTCACAATAGCCAAAAGGTGGAAACAACCTAAATCCTCATCAGCAGATAAATGGATAAAAAAAACCTGGTACACATATACAATGGAATACTACTCAGCCAGTAAGAGAAATTAAGTCTTTATAGATGCTACAGTATGGATACAGCCAGAAGACATCATGCTGAACGAAATACGCCAATCAGAAAAGAACAGATATTGTATGAACTCATTTATATAATAAGACAAGGGAAGGCAGATGTACAGAGACCAAGCTTTATTAGTGATTACAAGGGGTGGGAGGGAGCAGTAAAGGGGGGTTAACGATAATGGAAAAATCACATTAAGGGTAGGGTTGCACACTTGATTATTGTAACTTCTGTGAATAAGTTTTATACCTATAAAAAATTGAATTGGCAAAAAAAAAAGAACAGCTGCTGAGGCTGTTTATGTACAGCCAAACACCTCATGGCATTTGGTTCCTTGGTTTGGAGGTTTAGGGTCTTGGTTTCATGGGACATTCCAGTTAACTGGCCTAATAATGTGTTTAGTGCTTTCATTCTACCTCCTAGTTTGTTGTATAGTGCCTGGGGTCTTGAAAGCTTGCAAGCAGCCTCGAAGGCACAACAATTGGTCTCTGTTCACCTGGAGCAACAGAGGAAATAGAGTCAGGAATAGGAGGACATGGAATGTGTAGCTAGTTGCCTCCGTGAACAACTCCTTCCTTTGCCATGAGACCAGAAGAACCGGATGGTGTCCCACTACCATTACTGAACATTTTGATCAAATATTCCATAGAATAATCCTGATCAAAAGTGGAATGCAGAACAGAATTTCAGATTCTCTGGACTCTGGACTTTCTGGAGCCATGGAGGACAGATGAACCCCTAAAACTATTGCCCTGAGATTATCTTTAAACCTTAAACCAAAAATATCCCCTGAAGTCTTCTTAAAACTGAATGATAGTTTAGCTTAACTAGTGAAAAAGATCTCCTTGAGCATTATGCTCTTTTAAGAACTGTCTGTATGGGATCAAATTGACAACAACAACTCAAAAGATTAGATGGGAACCTTAGGGGGCAGTGAGTTTATGTTAATGAAGGAAGAACAACTCAGAAAAGGAGGGTGAGAATGGTTGCACAACTCAAAGAATATAATCAGTGTCACTAAATGGTACATTCAGAAACTGTTGAATTGGTGCATGTTTTACTGTGTATATTCTCAACGGCAACATACAAATAAATAAAATTTAGGGAAAAAAAAAACCATGATGTGTGAGATTATACTAGGTCAAAGAGAGAAGGAGGTCTCTCATAAAGAGAAGTGCAGTCAAAGCCACCAGTTATAAAAGAGTTTTGTGTTTCCAGGTAGTAGATCTTGGCTCAGTGGGACAAGTGTTTGGATGAGAACAGATTGGAAAGTTAGGTAGGGGACTGTAAAAGGCTTTGTATGCCATATTTAAAAGCTTAAGTCGTTTTTCTTTAAAACAGAGGTCAGCAAACTTTTTCTATAAAAAGCCAGATAGTAGATATTTTCGTTTTTGCAGGTCATATGGTCTCTATCTCAACTTCTTGACTCCTTTTGCAGCACAGAGAGTAACACAGACAATGTGTAAATGAATGGATTTGGATGTGCTCCTATAAAAGCTTATTTACAAAAACAGGCAGTGAGGAGGATTTGGCCCAAGAATCGTGGCTTTCTGATACATGCTTTAAGACCATGAGAGTTCTGGGAAATCATTGAGTTAGAGGCGACGTGATCAGATGAGTATTTTAGAATGAACTATGGTGACTCCTGAAAGATGGATTCAGTATGTTTAACTCCCTCATGAAAGAAATACTGGTATTATCATTTTTCTGTTATTTCCATCACTGGTTGTATCTAGCTACATTAGAAAAATATTCTCCCTAGATTTTAAATTGTTCTTTCTGGAATTTTAAATTGTACTCAGCTATATTAGAAAAGTGGATTCCTGACTTAAAGTTCCTTAGAAAATAATGAATTTTTTTGTTTGTTTGGACTGAGATAAAACTAGAAGTTGAACAGTTATTTCCCTCTTTACTTTATGGAACAGAAGAAGCTTTTTGCTGCCTCTATAGTGTTAGGTAGCCTGTTAAGAATTTGCTGCAGTATTCCCTGGAAGTCCAGTGCTCTGCAAAAGATCCATGTGGCACAAGAAATTTGGCCACAGAAAATTTCAGGGCACTTCAAGCATACTCATCGTGAAGAATGCATTTTAACCTGGCCCAGGGCTTTGCAATGACTGTACTGCCATTCTCAATTTCTAATTTTTTAATGATGTTCCTTACGGTGTATCGGCAGTCAGGAGCCTGCACTTCAATTTGCAAACCTGGGACCTAAAACTAAAGCTGTGCAGCAGACAAGACTCACTTTTGAAGCCCAGTATTTAATTGACTGTCTCTTTCAAGTTTTCAAATGTCATGGCATGAAAACCGTTATGTTTTCTGACATTTTATCTTCTATTCGTTTTATTAAATTTTTTTTCTAGGCAGAAATTCGTACAGATTTTAATATTCTCTACAATATGATGAAAAAGCATGAAGAATTCCGGTGGATGAGACTCCGGATCCGGCGAATGGCTAATGCGTGGATCCAGGCAATCAAGTCCCTGGCAGAAAAGCAGAATCTTGAAAAAAGAAAGAGGAAAAAAGTGAGTTTCTTATTAATTCAGTTCAGTTAGATGCCAGTTTTCTTTTAAAATTTCATTTTGCTTGGAAACAAGACTAAGAGAAATGTCACGTCTCAAATGATATACCCTCAGGGTGAACCTGCTCTGTCTTTTATATATCCATTTTTGTACAACCATATTCCTTTCCCCAGTTATAGTATTCTTGCTCAGCAGGGACCTGCACACATATTTCTTGGGTGAAGCCGAGCAGTATATATGCCTGTAAGACTTTTGTTTGAACCATCTGACTGCCTCTCTCAGTAGAGTCTGGAAACTTTTCCCCATTTCTTTTCCTGAACCCAACCTTTGAGAACATCCTGTTTCTCTTAGTTTAGTGACACCATCCATGACAATTTTGTATTTTTAGTCACTGTCAATTTTTTTGGTTTGGGCAACAGGTGAGTTCTATTGCAACTCTGTCTGGTTGATACTTCTGGTTATGTTCTTAAGAGAAAGATGTTATCAATGAATCGTGTACTGATTTGTTTCAAGTTGATGAGGAGTTGTTTGGAAAACCCTTAGAATACCTCTTGGCTTGGAAGAGTTTATATCCCATAGTTACAGATTAAGTGGTTGTGGCTTTAGATGAAGTGTTACGATTTCATAACTGAGTAAAGTGAATGATTTGTTCATACATCTAAAAAGGACATAAAAATTAGTTTTGATTTTTCTAATATGACTAATTTGATAGCCTCAAAAGAAAAAAATAGCAATACTCCAAGTTACAGTTTGATGGATCATTTTTGCTTAGATTCTGGAGTTTATGAGCCAGCAGGACCAAATGTTCTGGCACCAAATAGTCCACTGTGGAAGGACATGTGATCGGATATTCCAGATGGGCTGTAAAAAAAAAAAAAAGTAAAAGAAAAAAAGAATATATCCTGTGGAGTAGTCTGTACAGTATATTATTAAGTGAAAAAAGATAGATGGAGAAAAATGTGTATTATTTTTAAAAGGAAGACAAAGTATATGTCTCTTTATATATATGTGTATACACATACACACATATATATATGCATGTGTACTTCTTGCTCATATGAAAAAAAAATTAGAAGACTAAACCATAAAATTAAAAACAAGTGGTCATATATAGGGGGCAGAAGGGAATAGGATAGAGCATTAGGTATAAAAGCAAGATTTCTCTGAATGTATCTTTGTAGATTTGAATTTGGAACCATTTTGCATAAGTATAAAACAAAATTTAATTACAAAAAAAGAAATCTCTAAAAATCACACAGAAAATAAAATAAATAAACTGGCTACATATGTAGTTTTTATGAAAACATAGAGAAGGACTATTCTTAGTGACTAGAACATGGTTAATTTGTCTGAACATTTCTAATGGAATATCACCAAACAAAAAACAAGGACAAAATACAAAACAAAACATTTCTTCCTAATCATGTAGTAGGCAGTGGTGGTGTGATTCTTATTCTGAATCCATTTTGTGTATTGGGATAAAGTGGTTGAGTAATTATGTTAGTGTCCTTGAGAAGTGGGATTTTCAGTGTGGGAGAAAGGAGATAATAGATATAAGATGAATAATGTTAACATAAAAACTTTGTAATCCTGAGTTTGAATTGGAACTCATGATTGTTTTGTCTTTGAGGAAAAATAAATTTCTTATTTGTGTCCACTGAAAAGACCTAGAGACTGTTATTAACCTAGTAGTAATGAGCACCCCAAGCACCAGATTTTGATCTCTAAATACCATTTCCACTAAAGGATATTAGGGGATGTTGTAAAAATGGCTGCATTGGATCTGAGACAGAAGTTGTTCACGATGATCTTGGAACATCTTGTCATACCAGAGAGCAAAGAAGCTATCAAAGATTACTAGGGTTGTGTCAAAAGAATTTAGGAGCCAAGTTGGATAGCTTCCCACTGGCCAAGATGAAAGAATTTGATAATCAGTAAGGATAATAATGCAGTGTATTGAAACACATCAAATATGCTTATATCCATGATTTTATTACGATTTTTTTAAACCCCATTGGTCACTATTGGAGTATGCCAAAGAACAAATTTCTATTTTGAAAACTTGTAAGTAGGGGAAAGAATCAAGCATTTACCAGGCATTTTTTATGCAAACTGTACCTTAGGGTAACCAAATAGCAGATGAGGGGTTGTTTCTCTGTATAAGGGTATTCCAGGTAATAAATGATGAAGGAATGATAGGATATCAACATTTTGCAAACCATGATGGAGTCCCTGAGTGGTGCAAACTGTTAACACATTTGGCTGCTAACCAAAGGGTTGCATGTTTGAGTCCACCCAGAGGCACCTCGGAAGAAAGGCCTGGTGATCTACTTTCAAAAAATCAGCCTTGAAAACCCTATGGAGCACAGTTCTACTCTGACACACAAGGGGTCGCCATGAGTTGGGACTGACTCAGCAGTAACTGGTTTTGGTTATAATGGATGAATGGATCTAGCAGTGATCAAGTGGCTGCTCACAACACAAAACACAGACGCCCAGACCTTGTACCTCCCAGAGGAAGTACAAGCATCTCCTCTGAAGTAGACTGCCAGAAAATCAAATCCGAATTTGATCAATCTGTGTATCTAATTACTAATTTACTGGAAATACAAGAGACAGAGGAATCTGTTATACACTACCATTTGATTTAGTAATTCAGCAAAATCCAGAGTGTGGGAGACTCTCCTGGAAGTACAGCCCCATGGCTTTGACAAATAAATTGTAAGCACTTCCTCCTCAGAAAGAGTGATAGGGGATGAATATAGGCTGAAGGAGGGTAAGGAACACACCAGGCAATTATGATTTATTTGGCTTCTGAATCCAACAGCTGCACTTAAAAAAAATAAGTGGCCGTTGAAATGTGAACACTGACTGGATACTGGATGATATTGAAGAATTATTGACTTATAAATGTGATAATGATGTTATAGTCATATTTTTTTAAGTAAAGTTTTGTTTCTTTTAGAGATACCTTCTGAAATATTTACAGGTGAAAAGACATATCATCTAGGGTCTGCTTCAAAATAATCTAGAGAGGTTGGGAGAAAATGGGAGATGTAGATTAAATAAAGTCCCTGGGTGGTTTAAATGGTTAATGCACTTGGCTGCTAACCCAAAGGTTGGAGGTTTGAATCCACCCAGAGGCACCTGGGAAGAAAGCCTGACAGTCTACTTCTGAAAAATCAGCCATTGAGAACACTATATGGAGCATAGCTATATTCTGACACACATGGGATTGCCATGAGCCAGGGTCCACCTGAGGCAACTGTTTTTTTTTTTTTTTTTTTGTAAATTTAATAAGGTTTGTCATGAGCTAATAATTGTTGAAGCTACATGAGGCGTATACCAGGATTGACTATTATCGTGTATGCTTTTGTATGTGCTTGAAATTTTCCATATTAAACTTTAAAACTATTTCTACTGTGGGAAAAAGTCCAATATTGTTAGAAGACAAGATCATGTTGTCCTGGCTTGCTTCCCTTAATTCTGATTTTCCAGATAGAGCCCACTTTTGAAAAGCAGGTGTATCTCATCACTGCTAATGCCATAGCGATGTCAAGGGCAGCACTCACTTTCTTTTTTCTTGGTAAATGGCATACCCTACAGTGAGATTTCAGGAAAACATCAACATGAGTTTAGAATTGCTTATGGCTTTTGGGTGTGTTACTGTGGAGTTTGTCCTTGGTTCAGTGGGAATCAGTGTGTGCCTCTTTTGTTGTTTTCCAGGTCCTCGTTCACCTGGGACTCCTGACCAAGGAATCTGGATTTAAGATTGCAGAGACAGCTTTCAGCGGTGGCCCTCTTGGTGAATTAGTTCAGTGGAGTGATTTAATTACATCTCTGTACTTACTGGGCCATGACATTAGGATTTCAGCTTCACTGGCTGAGCTCAAGGAGTAAGGAGATTACTTTTCAATTTTAGAATCAGAATACAAAAAAGAAATTGTAAACTCTTAAAGCCCTCTATTAGTGTGTAATTTCTTGTGGAGGAAAATGGAAGTGATAATTCACTAAACAGGAGATAAGAAGATTATTTTCAGGAGCTAAATACATACACTGTGAAAGGATAATATGTTTTCGTTGTAGCTGCAGGCTCCAGAGGCTTCAGAAATGAATGCCAGAAAACTCAAACTAAGGAGCTTATTCTTTGCTATTACAGGTGCTTCCAACATCTGCCGCACAACACATTATTGACTTTCCTAATTCCCTGTCTCTTGATGAAATTCATACTGTTCCCGACTTAGCATCAAGCTTTCTAAATCTTAAAACAGGGCAGGTTCCTGTTTATAATTTAATTTGGATGGAATGAATTTCCTGAAAGCCCTGATCCAATCCCTTTTCAATTAGCCAACTTTCAGCTGAGTCTGTTAACTCTACCTGAGTATTCTACTTCACTGAAATTTGCTTCTAGCTCTAGCCCTTTCTTAATCCCTTTTAGATTGAGACAGCTAAGCAGGAACCCATAGATTCCCTTCACTCCATTTGGATCACTGCCCATAGAGACTTTCTACCCACTGGCCAAGTTATCATTCGGCAGTATGTCAGATGTTTTCAGGAGAAATTCCTTGAGTGAACATTCTAGAGTTACAAGGGATGTTAAAGCAATATATGTTCCACCCTCTCCTACTTTATTATCCCAGACATTGATACTCTGAAGGATCACTTGTGTTAGGTCCAAAGTCCACACCTGGTTAGTGGCAGTGTTGAGATGAAAGCAATAGATCCAATAAAGATAACAGCAGCTATCATTCGTTAAATGATTTCCATACGCCGAGTACTGTCATAAGGGCTTTAATTACAAACAGTAGTATCAACAATTATGACAGCCAAAATATTGATGATGAGTGTTCACAGCTAACATTTGTTGAGCACTTAATGTGCAGCAGATGTTGTTGTTGTTAGGTGCCGTTGAGTCAGTTCCGACTCATAGCGACCCTGTGTACAGCAGAACGAAACACTGCCTGGTCCTGCACCATCCTCACAATCGTTGCTATGTTTGAGCCCATTGTTGTAGCCACTCTGTCAATCCATCTCACTGAGGGTCTTCCTCTTTTTCGCTGACCCTCTATTTTACCAAACACGATGTCCTTCTCCAGGGACTGGTCCCTCCTGATAGCATGTCCAAAATATGTGAGACAAAGTCTCGCCATCCTTGCTTCTAAGGAGCATTCTGGCTGTACTTGCTTCCAAGACAGACTTGTTCATTCTTCTGGCAGTCTATGGTATATTCAGTATTCTTCGCCAACACCATAGTTCAAAGGCACCATTCAAGTACACCAGATACTAAGCACTTTTTATGTTTTATCTGTTTAATCCTTAGCACAAACCCAGAAGTAGTTGTTAAACTGCTTGCATTTTAAAGATGAGGAAACTGAGGCTCAGAGAACAAAATTGAATTGTTCAGCATCACATGGATAGTATGTGGGAGAGCCGGGATTTGATCCCTGTGTCTATCTGACTTTAAAGCCTGTTCCCTTAACCACATTGTCACTTTAAAGTGTAGACAGACTTGAGGCCTTCTGAACCCTTAATCACCACTGTTGTCCTTTTATCATGCTGCCTCTTGTTGCCTTCCTCCTGCTTGCTTAAAACACACAGGGTATACAAATTATAAAGTGGATTCGTTCATGCATTTAGCAGTTATTCTTTTCAGTGTTTTCTGTGGGCAGGCTCTTGTTATGGCATATGCAGAGACGACCAGCATATGGTCAAGGAGGTGCCGAGCTTCTGATAATTACAGCCCAGTTTGGTTAATGCAAATTGAAGCGTGGATGCTAGAACGTAAGCGGAAGTGCAGGAACTGTGTGAATACGGTTCACCGTATTTAGCATGTAGAGTAGTGCCTGGTACACACGGGGTGCTTATTCCTGTTTATGGAATGAATAAGTGAGGGGATAAAGAAATGAAGGAATGAGTGGGTGGTGAACAAATGGAGTACTAAGCGGTGGTGGGATGATGGGAGCACCAGGAAATACACAGGTTCTCCCTGGAGTGGGCAAGAGAGCTGGTAGAAATTTGTCAGGCAGAGGTTTAATGCTTTGATCAAGAGGAAGTCTGTAAAGTTTTTAAACATGCTGGTGACAGGGCCAGATGTGTTTTATTTAAGAAGATAATTGTGGAAGCAGCATATAGCAGTGGTTCCCAAACCTGCCACCATATTAGGATTACCTGGTCAGGGGCAGGTTATCCCGCACGATGCCTGCTTTGCCTACCAGATCGTCTGTAGTGAACAATTTCACATTTTTTCACCACATGAAAGATTCTGCTTCAAGATGTGACTGGCATTTATCTCTCCTAGCCCCACAGCACTTTCTACAGAATCAAAGCCTCTTTTCAAATTTATAATCCCTGACGGGCGGATGACCCAGTAAGCAAAGTAAGCATGGGCTTACTTGTACTTACTTACTAATCAAAGGTGTGGTGAAAGCCATGTGAAATTGTTCACTACAAATCATCTGGTAAGCAAGGGAAGTACCGTGCTTACCTTGCCTATTGGGTAATCCGCCCCTGCCTGGGATCTTTTTAAAATTCCAAAGTGCAGAGTAATTGAGTCACAGCAAGTATTTTGACACCCCCAAGTGATTACACTGGCAGACAAGTTTGGGAACCACTTAATAGTGGGCGCCCAAACAAAGAGGACCAAATCCGGCCCTCTTCCTGTATTTGTCAATCAAGTTCCATTGGAGCACAGCCACACCCATTTATTTATATAATGTCTGTGACTGCTTTGGAGTCGCTGGGTGGTATGAAGGGTCACTGTGCTCAACTGCTAACTGAAAAGTTAGTGGTTCCAGTTGACCTGGTGTTCTACTTCTGAAAAATCAGCCATTGAAAACCCTATGGAGCACAATTCTATTCTGACACACCGTGAGTCAGAATTGACTGGACAGCAACTGGTGATGGTAGATGGCTACCCCGGCAGAGTTGAGTAGTTACAAGTAGTTTGGCTTGAAAAGGTGAAAGTATTTACTGTATGGCCCTTTATAGAAAAAATTTTCTGACCCTTAGGATAGAGTGATGTAGGAAGAAAGTGGTTACAGGGATCCCAGCTTTTTCAGACACCCAGCAGAGAAGAAAAGAATGCCTGAAGCAGTGACACTGTAACACTAGAGCAGAGTCCTGAATGTGACTCTTATCCTTTGAAGCAGCATGCCCAGAATTTGGTGAAGGATTGTTACAGGGTGTGAGCAGGGGTAAAAGATATCAAGGATGACTGATTTTCTAGATGAATGCAGTATGGTTAGCTGTCATTTACTACCACCTATGAAGCTGGCATACCAATCAAGTAGATTGGCACTTTCTGAGTTCAAGGGTGGTTTTGGATGGATGGATGGATGGATGGATGGATGGATGGGTGGGTGGG